CATGACTTGTTTTTGGCGTTGCCCTGGAGAATGAGAATGTGTGTGTAACTAAGCTGTCCTGTTGGGTTGTGCTTGCGCCACCCTTTTGTTTTATTTTGGTTTATCTCTGACTCCTCTTGCCCATTTTCTTTGTGTTGCTTCACTATTTACCGACCGAGTCAACTGCGATTGTGCCTTTCTGCTGAAAAGGATTCTGCTTCAGCGAAATGGAGTGCCAGGACTTTTCTTGAGTGACCACACTCTTTCATAATTTTCTGCCAAACAAATCCTTAAAATTACGTACCTCGGGTTTCCCGCCTTTGCATGCCAGACACTTGGACCACAATTTGGGTGTTCCAACAGAAGAGTGACGCCCAAAACACTGGGGGTCTGGTTTTGATACTTGGAAGTAGCTGAGGTCATGGTAGCCCAGAATTTAAACAGCACTTGACACGTTCGACTTTAACCTAACCAACTGCACCCTCCTATTAGCCCATTTACTCTATGGCTGTATAAATGGGGGTTTTTCAACTGTACTCCAGTAGATCTTTCTGGTATCTGTGCTCGACTTGAGTACTTTTGTGACAACCTTTCACTTTTGCTGCCGATAAAAGCAAATAGCTGCACATTCTTCTCCTTTGTCAAAATAGGCCGATTATCTTTTTCAACCTCCGTGGATGAAAACAGGACCAAAAAAAGACATGAATACCGGTAGATAGGCAACGCGGGTTGACTTGTGATTTGTTGAAATATTGAAATATTGGGGTGTTATGAGTTGGGAGGCGGGGTGTTACAGGGAGTGGATTAGACATTTCAAAGCTGAGTTTCATTCTTGGGAATGAACATTGTAGATATGTCTTTTTGACAAGTAGTCGGCTACTTACATTTTGAATTGTTGCAATTTTCATTCCAAATACCTAACAGAATTGTGGCCAAATAGAAAAAGAACCATTTGGACTGTTATACCACCAGCTGTTGATGGTTTGGGGCTTGGTTAGTGCCAGTGGCATGGCTAACTTACACATCTGTGAAGGCAGCATTCATGCCGAAAGGCACATTCAGGTTTTGGAGAAACACATGCTGCCATCCAAGCAAGGCCTTTTTCATGGACGCCCCCACTTATTTCAGCAAGACAATGCCAAACCACATTCTGTACGTATTACAACGGCGTGGCTTCGTAGTCAAAGACTGCGGGCACCAGAATGGCCTCTCTCCCTGTATCGTTGACCTGTTCATAATATCGTTTGTACACAAGTTACACTGTACTAAAGAATGCACCATATACAACATACTTTACATTCCCATCACATAAACTGTTTAAAAAACAATTATAGTTAGCAATAATATAACATCATTATATAACAACAAATACGTGTAGCAATGTAGAGTTGCATCAGTACTTCTGCTTTTCCAGAGAGTTTTTTTTTTTTTTAACTCAAAAGTATCTTGTACTTCTACTTGAGCACAGAGTACTTTTCTGAGTTCTGTGGCTGCATGATGATCACAAACTGGCTGGCTGGGTAGATGTAACCAGTCCGTATGAGTCACCTCAATGTCGTTGCCCGTCCTCTAAAGTTTATAATTATTGCAGAGGCATTGCACTGTTACATGCAACGGGTCAGGGTGAAGCTAATTTTAACTGCAGGTCGCTGAGACGGTCTGTGTCAGGGGGCCTTCAAACACTCCACTATGTTGATCCTGTCAACTCGTGTGTGTGTGTGTGTGTGTGTGTGTGTGTGTGTGTGTGTGTGTGTGTGTGTGTGTGTGTGTGTGTGTGTGTGTCGGAGACACATATGGACACGTACACGAGGTGAGGCAGGCCACGTTGTCGTCTCATGGTGCCCATCAAATAGATAGAGCTAAAAACAGGACAAACCCGAGAGGACAAACATGTAGCGTATCAAAAGTCATTGAATAAGTGACTAACTTCTGATAAGGAAGGAGCCATGCCTGGATCCTGTTTACTTGTTTTCCCGTGGCAGGCCGTGTCGCCGACCAGCTACCTTTGGCCCAGATTTCTCACTGGCCACAGCTGGGCGCGCTGCTGCCAGAGAACAGGTTTAGGAACAATAAGACCCTGATCCAAATGTGCCCTGTCCTACATCTCGTATGACAACCTTCCTCATCTGAATTGTCTCCGTCTTTGTCCGAGGCACGACTAAGTTTTCAATATTTCAATTTTCAAACTGTTGCTGACATGCCCACAGGACTAGGCTGGCATGATTTAATGTACAAAAGAATCCCAACGAGCCTCAATGCACTGTTAGCTTTACAGGTGAACTTAACTTTACCTTGACCTTTTGAATCCCCGTGTTCAACTGTGTTTCACTACTTTTTGTGCAAGTGGCTATAAACTCACTACAGAGGGTTGATTTATGAAAACAAGCAAAGGTGTCCACTTCTATTCCTATCAGTGACCCTTCCAGTCTCTCTCTCTCTCTCACAACCTGCTAATGACACTCTGAGCTCAGTGGCCACGTCATGTTTCAAACATTGCAATGTTGAGGTCCTATCGATCAGTTACGGTATTTGGCGTCTTCTTGGCCTCATGATTGAAAATTTGAACAGCATGAAGAAGACGGCTTAAAAACCAGGACGTTTTTTGGGGTTATTTGTGAATCTTGTTTTAGATGAACAGCAAGGCCTACTATGTTACTGTATTTGTTTGTCATTACATTGGTACTTGGAGAGCAAAGTCTTTTTTGAGGTGGTATTTGGTGTAAAAAGTTTGAGAAGCACTACTGTAATTCATCTAAAGGTGTAAAAGAGTCACAAAAAAAAGGGAAAGAAGGCCTGTTGCTATGTTTTTTCCGTACATTTGAGTTGATTTCTTGCATCCAGGAGCATTTGTTTTGCTTTCCAATGTTCAGTCTGGTTGTTGTCATCTGATCGTGTGGTGCCTTGTGAACTTTCCCCTAGAAAACTCTTAGACTACGCCCCCTCCTTCCTCTCTGTCTGTGTTGGGAGGCAGGAGATTCACGTTTGACCTCTCTGACACCGGACTGTTTTTATTTGGATCAGATCAGGGGATTTTTTTTTTTTTTAAAGTGTCAGATTCGTCTGCTCAGAATAGGCCAGTTTTTCTGGGGTGGGGGAGAATGACAGGAACACAACGAACCTGGACTTTCACACGGAATTGGTCACAGCGGGAGGCTGCCATGCTTTCTCAGACAGCGTCACTCCACCCTAAATGAGAGCCGACTTGTCCAATGTGCTTTATCAGCTTCCCCAATGTTCTTCTTTTTTTCCAAGAAATGTTTGCACATATGAGGCAGCACAGTGCACTAGTGGTTAGCGTGTCTGCCTCACAGTTCTGAGGTTGGGGTTTGAAATATTTGCTCTGGCTTTGCTGTGTAAATTTTGCATGTGTTTGTAGGTTTGCTTTTATTACTCTGGCGTCCTCCCACATTCCGAAAGCGTGCACGAAGAATATAGGTTACGTGGAGCCTCTATAGCGGCGGTTCGCAACTGTTGTCAACCTTGGGCCGGCACGTTGCTATTTTTGATTATTTGTGACCCACTTTCACCGAAGTGAAGAACAATAAAGCCAATGGATGGCTCCAAAATAGCCTCTGAAAATAAATGTACAGTTTCTGTGCCGCCTGTCTGAAAAAGCATCTATTTACTTTCTGTGCTTGTTCTGAAAAAACTTAGGATGCCATTAAAGCCTTGTCAAATAGGAAAGTAGCAACTGGTGTCAAAGAGGTATGCCGAAGAGAGACATCTTGACTCTGAAAATTGTTTTGCTCTGCTCAGTGGAAATTTACAGTATGCTTTGTGTCACTTTTATAAAGATACAGTATTGCTTACATGTTCAAAATGCCTTTCAAATCACTTAACCAAAAAAAAAAAAAAGAGGATTAACACAAATTATAAATTAAATACAGCAGTAAGTGAGCATGACTTCTTGTACTGTGTGACCACAGATTCTTACGCCACCCAGGAAAACAAGCTGCTGTAGTTCATGCGTTTCCTTCGAAACATTGAATAAACTCTGTACAAATGTTGTCTAGCTGGTCACGAAGCACCCGAGGCAGTGATGGGAAGGACCAAAAGGTAAGGCAAGTGCACAAACAAGCCTTTTTCAACCACCAGTTGATTGATTGCATTTTGTTCTTTGTTATCGGTGAAGTTGTTGTGAGCAGCATCAAACGATCTTATCTGTAATATAATTACAGGGAGTATACTGTTTTTAACAGCTGACATGATTACTTTGTGTTGTGGATGGGTGACTTAAGTGCTGTTAGATCTTGAGTACCACTGTGACTGTGAAAACCATATAATTATAAAATCACCTCATTGTATGACATAAACACAATTGTCCCTGTGTTTCCTTATTATGTAACAGACGTAGACGTCGATCTCCATTCAAAAAAGGTTGGGCACCCCTGCTTTAAATTGCCCCTAGGTGTGAGTGTGAGCGTGGATGGTTGTTCGTCTCTGTGTGCCCTGTGAATGGCTGGCAACCGGTTCAGGGTGTACCCTGCCTACTGCCCGAAGACAGCTGGGATAGGCTCCAGCACCCCCCGCGACCCATGTGAGGATAACAAGATTAGAAAATGGACGGATGTATGGTATGCGTGTGTGTGTGTGTGTGTGTGTCTTTTGGTAATGCCTGTGTCCGCTTCTGTAGTATTTTGTTGCTTTGTAACCCATAAAATAACAAAAATAAAAAAGCCTATCCTTTCCCCAATTGTGATCAGCTGAAAATGATGTGATCGGGTCCAATTTTCAATCACTTGATTGGTATCGGACATCCCTCATTCATACACTAGTATCCAGACTACTGTAATGGCAGCGAGACTTCCTTGCGGCCCAAAAATCATCTTCCAGCTTGCCTCTCTCCGCCTAAGAGTGGATTATATTTCTCTGACCTACATTCTGATGAGCTGGCGCGTTATGTAAACAAAATGGATGATGGCCAATCAATGTAGCCAAACCACAAAAGGCCTCTTGTGTTATGAAACAAGTGCTCTGCTGAGGTCATGCAGCTCAAGGATTTACAGTCTGAACAGCAAAACTGTAATTTTGTCTTTTTATTTTTCTTATCAGCAATGGTAACAAGTAACAGATGAAAAAACTTTTTTTGGTCGTCATACAAATAAAATTATACAGGCAAAAACAAAAGGCTATCTATATACTGAAAAGTGAGTCATCTTCACCGCCACCATCTCCATCTGGGCCATGATGGCAAGTTGGCAGTGAGGAAGCCCCGAGAGGAAGATGAGGGTGGGGATGAGGATGAGGGGCCTCTAGGAGGAAGAGGAAGAGGCCGGCGGGGGCGGGCTTGAGGCCTCAGACTTGCCCATGTCGCCGTTTTCACTGAGCTGTCGCTTCAGAAGCATTTCCCTGGCGATGCAGGTCACCTGACCGTTGGCCACTGTGTAGCTTCCGTTTCTGCAACCAAAGAACCAGTTAAATCGAGGATGTGACACTCTTCTCGAGAAGAGTCATTTCGGTCTAAAAAAAAGTCAGAAATCTGATGATCGGTGGAAAATTCGCATCCCTGATATTTTGACAATATGGAAATTTGGAAAAATGGTTAGCCCCGCCGACAGCAATTAGCAAATGTTCTTATTAATCCCACCGGTTCGTCTGCGCCACACAAAGCACTGTCATGATTATGGTCAGCGGCGCCAGTTTGCAGCCAGCTCTCAGACGCGTTATTTTAAACAGCAAAAAATCAGCCGCGGCATTCGTCTCAGGTTTGATGAATCACAGTTGCACATGCTTGAGCTTACTTTTGGGTTTCGGGTTTCGCGAAGAAAAAGGAGGTCCACCAGTGGCCAGAATCTTGTCTTGGAAGTCCTGCGGGGAGCATATGCGACACTTTAAGGAAGTCTGCAAAATGACACCAACAAGAGAAACCCAACGTGGGTCTCTGTTCTACGTACCAGGGTGGTGTGGGATGACCTCTCCCGAGAACTCGGCGCTGCTACACGAGCTGCTGCTGGACGTGGACCCGATGCGCCCTGCAAAGCACACTCAGTCACTTTCACTGGGGACGACACAGTGTGAACCTCACCTCGGCGCAGCTTGCCAGTACCAGTTATTTATACACTTCCCACAGGCCTTGAATCCATTTTAACTTATCACATTCTTTATGTATTTGAACTAGACCTCCACCTCCAATAATCACTTAATCCACAAAAAAATGTTTTCTAATTTCCATCCCATTGTTCAAAAACAGAACATTATTTCAAATTGACCGTGCAGAAAATGCACAAAAGTCAATTGATGATGATTCAGTTATTGGTTCAGAGCATGTGAGAAAAGCAGCAAAAATGTTGATCACTGTTTGCAAATGTCTTATTTGGGAAAAACACCAAAGATCGTCAGACTGCTTTCATTGAGGATGACAGAAATCTGAAAATATTTACTCTTGACAGGCTGAAATTCCGAGACTTTGGACAATTTTAAAAGTTAAACAAGGTCTTGAAAAAAATTAACCAATTATTATTATTATTATAATAATTATTAAAATTTCCAATTCATATGACCATCAGTTAGCAGTCAATGAATTGAATATTTTTGACATCTTTATTGTGATCACAATTTTTTCTTTGTGGAACCAAAAACATATGTTCGCGGCCTTTGTTCTCTTCCTTTAATGCTCTGAGTTGCCACGGGATGGTGCCAAAGCCCTGACTAATAGGAAAGTAGTAATTGGTGTCAAGCAAGCGCTGGTGAAGTGATACATCGTGATGTAGAGACGAGCTTTGTCCGGGAATGAGCGAAGTGTACTCTGGATTATTAGTGGAAATTTTGGAGAGTATTCGCAGCATGTACAAGGACATGCACACTTCCGGCACACAGTAAACCCTTAACAGTAATTTCTTAGCATGAGTTGGGTCATGATATGAAAGTGGTTTGCAATCGTGGTTTGTGTTATGGTTGTGGTTTGAACTATTAATATAGGCAGTTACTGTATAAATATTTTGACGGGTGGCTGACGAAGTCTGTATTGTGGAATACGGTAAAAATGTGTGCGATGATCCTGAAGGCCTGCGACTTACTTCTGTAGTAATCATGGGTGGCAATGAGGGAGCCGCTTGATGGAATTGCTGCCATCTTCTCTGACTTCAAGTTGAAATAATGATGGGTAAACTGGACCTGAGGGCGAGACAGGAAAACATGGGCATAAATCTGCAGCGTATTCAGAGAATGAATATGGGGGGGCCGTGGTAGAGTGGGTCGTCCAGTCATTGAAGGGTCGCTAGCTCGAGTCCCGGCTCTGACTGTCTGCTGTCGAAGTGTCCTTGGGCAAGACAGTGAACACCAAATTGCCACCGAGGGGAGAGTTGGGACTGAATGTCTTTGTACTGTATTAAGTTGTAATGTTTTAATGAGTATCGAATAATGATAATTTTTCAAAAGTCTTCAAAAATCAACTGATTTTGTTTGTTTTTTTGTTCTTATGCCAAATTGAAATTGATCATAAGCCAATGAAATCATCCAGTATATTATTAATACTGGTAGATATCAGTGATCTCTCTCTCTCCCTCTCATTCATTGTACAGAACAAGAGAAACATGTTTATCTACCCCTCATATGATTAGAAACATGTTGAACCTTGAATCTTTGTTAAGGCCACGTGCACTCTGTGCTGCATTCTAGTGTACACCCATGCTTAGTATGTGTCTATACATATATAAATCCAGATACAAACACACGTGTAGACTAGAGACAGCTGCTTGTGGGAATCTAGTTTCCTCCCTATTCCAGCACGTGCCAAACTGAGGGGTTGCAGGGTTGTTATGGATTAAATGGTGACAGTTGACTATACTATATTTTCTAAAGTGGAAATTTACCATGGAGATTCATGGGACCTATAGGCGTAATGGCAAAAAAAAGTGTGTGTGTGTGTGTGTGTGTGTGTGTGTGTGTGTGTTTGTGTTTTTATTCCCAGAAAACAAGCAGATTTTACACAAGTACCATGTCTGAAGTTCAGTTCGGAGCTGTTGTTTGGTTGACTATTTTTGGCTTTGCCTTTGAAGCCAAAATATAAGTTACTGTACGTACATGCCATATGCTGTCACTAGAGTAAAGTTAGAAAAAAATTAGCAAATAAATTGCTGTAATGCCCACCCATGTGAGAAAGAATAGATATCTTATTTGCATGGATGTCTGCTCATTACAAAACAAAAAAATTTGATATTTACGCCAGATATACTTTTCCACTAAACTACTCACAGTTCCCGGTTAACTTCCATGAAACATTTCCAATTTGGAAATCCCAAATCACACTTTTTGCAAAGCCACTAATGAGTTGTTGTCTCGTATTGTTTTAATTTCTCACTTTCTTCCCGTGAAAACGTAAATGGGAGGCAGTATTTTGACTCGAAGGCCAACTTGAGTTTTAAGGAGCAGACGAAGTAGATGCAGTTCAACTGGACATGAGAAGCAGATGGCTTTAGGCTTAGGGATTTCTAGGATCAGGTGAGTACTCGCTGTACTACCCATCATACACAAACAAGACAGCGTCCCAAATGGACATTTATCAATAAAAACATCGCGTATGCATGTACGTAGTGAACACGAAAGGCTCATTTGATCCGACAAGATGCATCTAACGTTCACACGAAACATTAATGTGACCAAGAGACATGAATAATATGTACACATAATACATTTGTGGCAAAGAAATCTGTATAACGTATGCACTCATTCGTGGCCAAGAAATGTGTAAAACATGCAATAGTAATTTGTGGTCATAGAATGGACATAACATGCACACAAAATAGGTATTACGTACGCACGAAACACTGTGGCTCCGAACAGGACAGTTGAGTAAACATATGGAGCGCACCTCCTCTAGAAACGAGAAGCTGAAAACAATGGACGGATAGTGCAACAGAATTTTATTTCAGGCTATTAATGAGCAACAAAGCCATTCTGAAAAGCCTGCCACTACAAAAAAACGTGTTTTATTTTTTATTTTATTTTTTGCTGTTATTTAAACAGGCTATCGAGAGGTCCGTTTGTTATGTCCGACCTTATGGACGTCAAGCTTGGTATTTTTTCGATAAAGTGCGCACCATTTTCTTACCCAGACATCCAAATTGAGGAAGGGAGTGCTATTGAAACAATACAAGAGCACTTTGTTCGTACCTTACGCCGATTTTAAGGCCACAATTCTGTTTCTTAGTCCCCCCAGGTCTCCAATGTCATGTCTGACGCTTCGTGAACATCAGTGGAGTTGATACTTGTGAGGCTTACCTTCGGTTGTGATCGGAATGCTGGTGCTTGTGGTGGAAGGTTTGGATGGCACAAGAGCTTCTCAGTGGTTCGAACGGCCCATTAGTGGATGGACGACAACGGTGGTGTTGGCCCCTTGCTGTCGGTCGCTTGTCGGCGGATGCTAGTGAGCGAGGGCGAACAGTCAGCTTTTAATCGCTCAGGGGCCACGTGAGCTCCGTGTAGGCGGAGACTGAGGCGTGGCATGCAGCGGAACGTGACCGCGGTCCGTGAGTGAGAACATTGCGTCATAGTACCGAAAAAAGTCTCTTTTGTCAACAAGCTGTCTATGTTGACCGGAAGACATTGGCATGAAATTACATATGTGGATCAAACCAAACAAATCAAGCCTTCATGAATCAATACAAGATAAAAAGTTATATTTGTAAACAACGTTAAATCAGCACAGTCCCTGATGGTCTAGTGGTTAGGATTCGGCGCTCTCACCGCCGCGGCCCGGGTTCGATTCCCGGTCAGGGAAAGATGTTTTTACGTGTGTCATCAAATTGTAATTTTGTCGTGCTGTTTACCGCGGCTTGCCGGTACAACGATGGAACCATCCATCCACCTATTATGTGAACGGCTTTATCCGCACAACGGTCGCGGGCGTGCTCGACCCTTGTCAAAATGTATCCATTGAGTATGCAGCTCTGGAAAAAAAATCAGAGACCACTGCTATAGATTACTGACAATGTAAAGACCCCAAAGGCCTCAATGGTGCAGTGTAATTTTGGTTTCCTAATTATTATTCTGATTATTCTTATTATTATGAGCAAAGTGCATACAACCCATTTAAAATACACAGAAAATTAAACTAAGTAACATTACAGAAGATGAAATCAATAAAATATAATAGTCACCTAGCCAGACTAGTGAGGATTACCAGGAAAATTGATGGATGGATTGATAAAATACATACTAAATACCATAGTAACATTTAAAGAAATAAAACCAGAAGGTTATATATAGTTATGACTGAACAAATTAGGCGAGGAATGAATCAAACACATCATTAACTAGATTATATTCACTATTTATGACACATTTGACTTTAATTGAAAAATCTTTGAATACAAAAACACTTATGAGTCTTATTTTTTTGGTGATGTCGTAAACAGTGTCATTGGGATGTCAGTGTAGCCTTTCTGTTTGCAAGTGTTAAAATGAATAGAGTACACTATATCTCAGAATGGATTGAAGCATCGTGCAGGAACTCTTTGAACATGTTGGAATTGTTGCTGGTATTTTACATTTCACAGACAAACAAAATAACTTCTTTGAAAGCCGGATGTTTCTCCATTATTTGTCAAGACTGCCAGTCATCTTCTCCTCTGGAAAATCATACATGAAACATGGTGCGTCATCATACAAAGAAAATCATGTGTGACCATGGTTCTCAAACTTTTTACACAGAGGAGCACCTATAAACATACTTAGCTGTCTTAAGTACCCACCAGATGACCAACATTAAAATATAGCAACGCAGTAGCCCTAATTGTTTATCAAAAACAATGCAAAGATGTTCTTATGAATTTCATGAAAATAATTTGCACTTAAGTTTTAAAAAGTGTACCACATAGGTGAAAGTTCTTAAAGATTCAGTGCACATGTATTGTACTGTAATTAAAAAAAAAAAATGTAGAGTGCTGTACTTGTAAAGTTCAAAATGTACCATCTAACCGATGTAAAACATGATGTATGCATTACTGCAAGCTCCTTTCTAACGTCTTTCTTGTATTCAATTAAATTTTGGATTCAAATCACAAAACTGACCACGTTTTGAAGTATCTGCCCGACGCCAGTGATTTGTGTATTTAATTGAGTGATTCTGCTGCATGCCAACAGTGAACGCCTGCAAATCACTCGTGGTCCTCTTCGCAAACTTTTCACATCACTGCCCTTAATCCACTCACCTTCACACTGCCAACCATTTCCTCAAACGACCTGAATGTGGAGGAGTGTCTTGGAAGAAAAAGTACATTCTTGTTACGATTTGCTTCACTTTCTTCCAACAATAAGCAACTGTCTGAAAAATGACATTGATGGGTATTTACCTCATTGATGGCACACTCATGGTGTGATTCAGCGTGCTTTCATGACAATACAGAGATGTTAGACAACAAAGCGTTATCTTTGCACAATTCTAATATGGACCGTAACATTTACCGTGGTGGGCTTGGAAGGGGCAGAGCTCTGATGATGTTTGCGGCGTGAACACAAAAAAAAAAAAAAAGAGACACGAAAATGAGTAGCAAGATAAGGTGTCATTTTGTAAGTGTGACTTTGACCAAAGTCAAAGTCAGACTTAAGTCACCAATTTTCGTACTTGGCACTTATTGGCTAAAACTTATGAAAGACTCGACTTGATACTGATGAGACTGCGTTTATATTTAAAAATTTCCATTTTCAAGAGAACGCGATGCTTTTTTTTTTTAAGTGTTGCTTATTTTTGGAACGCGTGCAAACCTGCCTACATTGGCATGCTGTAATGCTGGGGATGAACGACCTCTTTTTTTTTTTTTTAAGTCAGTGCTAAGGCAAGAGTCGAGTTGACTTTGACTAATCGTGATGTCATTCATATTTTTTTTTCAGTTGGCAACTCTGTGCGTGCCTCCAAATGCTAGGTCGCTCGCTCGCTCACTCTCCTCATCATTTTCGGTTGCGTAGGAAACGCCCACTGACTCGCTCATCCCATTGATGGTTGCAAGAGTTTTACAAAGACTTTCTGGGTATGCTAAAGCATTCAGTTCCTTTCCCTGTAACTAAGGGAACAATATTGTTGACAGTTGCAGGTGTGTTCCTGTTCCAACACGACTGTGTGTCAGTACACAAAGCGAGGTCCACAAAGACATGGATGCGGAAATTTGGTGTGGATGAACTTGGCCAAGACAAAGTCCTCACCTCAACCTGCTTTTGAGCACCTTTTAGGATTAATTCAAGCGGAGACTGAAAGCCAGGCTGTCTGTGTGTTTTTTTTTTTTTAACTTAATGTATCTACATTTGAACATCTGACACCTGTTCCACTTTCACCAGCCAATCTGTCAGATCGACATTAGGATTTTATTCTTGCTCCTGCTAGCTGAGGACAGCATCAGGGTCACTTGCCAACAATTCAAGAAATATTTGAGGTGGAACTCACATGTCGGACCAGGCTGGCCTGGCGACAGATGGACCAGCACTGCCCCCACTTGGTATTTCGTTGCTGCACGTGGCCAACAAATAACGTGACACGGAGAAGGAACATACTCTAAGTGTGGAATCACAATTAAATATTCCAAATCTTCAAATTCATTGGATCGTGTTTTAATCAATTCACCCCACCAAAAATGTGATTTGGTTTGCGTTTCTTAAGAAAACCTGAAAGAAAAACATCAGTGGTCATTGTGCCATAATTGCTGCACCCCCGCTGGTCTGCCCGTCTGCCTGGATGACTTTTCTAAAAATGTGCCAGGTGGCATGCAGAGAGCAGCTTGTACTCACTGACCTCCTTGCTAAATGCTATGGCTCATGACGACCTGCTCTTTTTTTTTATTTTTTTTTTTTGCAACACTTGAAATGATCTATTTAACTCTGACATCACACGTACATCGGAAGAAACCATGCTCAATGGCTCAAATTAGGGATGGGTGAGTACCGATACCAGGTATCGATTGGCGCTTGGGACACATCCCCCTCAGTGTGTGTGTGTAAATTAAAAAAAAACACCCCCACACCCCAGTTCCAAAATCCCACCTGCGTCCAAGCAGGTATCAGTATAGGGCTACCTTATTTCTACTGTATGTTTCGCATACCCGTGAAGGCCAATATTTGGTTCTACACGATGGTGGTTGAAGACACGAGCGAATCATGTGCACCAGAAAGAAAGAAAGGTCTTTGTTCACAATTGACTGTCATTGTGTTCATTGAAATGGTATATATCAAATGACTATTGGTATTGGTACTCTGTATTGGTGATCTCTCGAGAGTGAATACTCGTAGTGGTGTTGTTTTGAGAAAAAAAAAAGGAGTATTGATCATCCCTAGCATGATTGATGACGTTAGCCGTAGCTGAAATGTGTGATGTGTCAGTTGAAAAAAAGGCTTCTAAGTGAGATGGGACATCAGCCGTAATTTTCATTTCAACAGATAAGTCGACAGTGGAGGAAATTTAAACGTAGATGACATGATCATTGAGCATAATTAGTTTTCTGTTGCTCAGATTGATGTCGTCCTTTTTCGATGGGGAAATAGCGTCGTCCGCTGGCAGGCTGACCAGTATATTGAGCTAAACTACCCAAAAATAACTCGACTCCCGTTAACATTTTATACACACTGTCAATTTCTGTGTTTCTTTAGATGTGCTGATGACATTGTTTTCCCTGTGATCACAGTTTCACTCGTTTGATTGGTGGGCGCAGGGTCGTAGCTGCTCCATTTGGTATTTCCATGAGGCCCCAGTGGAAGGAAGTTGTCGGAGTACTCCCTCTTTTCAAGCTGTCGCCATGCCTCTTGCTCAACCTTAATTATTATCTGTTGGCTTATAAGTACTTATGGTTTGCTTTTGGTGTGAAGTTATGGTATTCATTTTTTTGGTGTTGTTATTTATTTTCTTCTTTGTGTATGTAATATTGTTTTTGTTCTTTTACCAGTACCTCTCTTCTGCTGGGTATTCATGCAGCTCCTTTTGATTGTAATTTGCTGTCTTCGTGTATTTGTGATTTTTTCATCATCATTTCACATTATTTTGACTGTTGTGCTTCACGCGTGTGTGTATTTTTGCTTCAATAAAGCCTGGGTAAATGTTTAACATTTAGTTGTCCGTGCAGTCATCTATCCTTTGGATTGGCCAATCACATTGCACAGCTCCAATGATGGAGGTCCGGTTCCTAATCTGTCCGTTTCCAAGTAGTTAAGAGTAACGGTGTTCCGATCAGAGTTTTATGCTGCTGATTCCGGTACTGATCATCCCTGACTGAGGTCAGCCGATACGATCATCCGTGGATTAGCTGCACTTTTTTAAATGTTAGAACTTCTCACCAACAATTATTTTAATAATTGATGCTACACTGCACATAGGCTGGCCTCTAGTTGGTTGCAGGCTGCCAAGTACGAGTTGCAGGTCATCATTTTTGGGTGATTAGCAATGGACGACGGAAACCGTCCGATCACGATCTGTGGCCGATCGATCAGACCACCACTAATTAATAGACTTGGCATCTTCTCTTTACATCGATTTATGACATACATTCGATTTGTTCTCTTCACCCACAGGTTCTTCTTTATAATCTATGATTTTTATTTTTGTAGAGAAATTAAGGGGCGGGGTGTGACTTTTGAGGTATAGCTGGTGGTGAACCCCCAACCAAAACAAGTTTTTCTCATCAATTGCATTCTCCCACCCGGACATCTCCTGGCACCGACTGTTTCCAACCATTGTGAAAAGATCCATTGGAGTGTACCTCAACTCCGCCAGCCTCCTGGTGATGACCACGCCCACGTTGGTCAACGCAGAAGAGGTCACGTGACTCGCATGAGCCAGACCTTCTTTGGTCCTCACGCATCTACAGGCAGAAGGAAGCGGCAGGAATAAGAAGCGGGAGGAAAAGTGGCCACTTGACTCACACAAATGCAACAGAAGGCCTGCACATATGCGTCATGCCGGACCTCCCGCTAATACTGCTGCCGCTTGTACTAATTCAGGTGGTAAGGCTATTAACAGAGCACCAATCCTATTGGACTCAGAAAATCCCATCACTTGTTCCGTAGAGGAAACCTTAACGTGTGAGCACTTGGCAAAAACAACACGGAGTCTCGCGTACGATGGCTGTTTTTCTTCAAGAAGAAGTAGACGCCAACACTCACACGTTGGAGTTGTTGATGTCATCCAGGACTGCAGAGGCTGTGAGATATCTGCAAAGAGATTAACTTGTTGACACACCCTAAGACTGATGAGAGAGTATTTCCCGGTTACATAATCACGAGCAGGTATGGGTAGCATGCAACCGATGAGCTCATTGTTCTAACACGCAATGGGTGCGCTCACGGGGAAGAGGTCTGCACTTCTTGCCAGCCTTTGGACAGGTTCTCCTTGATGCTACTGAGAGGGCCCATACCCAGCTGCCTCCTGATATCTGCGGCCGACTTCTCCTTGGTCAGCAGCACCTGCCTAAGAGTCTGAATTTCCTCCTCCATCTGGTTACAAAAATGCAGCAAGTTTGGTGACACTGTCGTTTTCCGAGGCTCTTTAATTGATAGCTTTGTGGACGGAGTCAATAACCAGATCAGGGTTACGTTCGGATTTGGGGGAACCAAATTAACTAAGTTATACCGCCAAGTGAAGTCTCACCTTGGCAAGTTCGAATCTCAGATTGTCCCTCTCCTCGTCACTTAGCTGTGCCGGGTGGCATCCATTTTCTGGCACGCTGGAGGAGAAACTCGGGGATGAAGTCCCGCCAAAACCTTCAGCAGAATGAGATTTGATTCAAAGCAACTCTGTGCGTGTGGAAAGTGATATTTTGTCTTTGTAAATAATGGAGATACGGATGTTGTTATGCTGAGTGCTCCCTCGACACTCCCCCGGTCGCTCAAGACCCCAACCCCATTTTCTCTTTTTGTCTACCCTTTGTCGCTCGACTCTTTCGCTTCCGCCCAAATGGCCGACCGAGTCAGACGTTTGCTCAACAGAGCCTGGGCTCTGTTGGAGATGTCTCCCTTTGAAGAAGTAGTTCCTTACTTCAGCTGGTTTTCAATCATGTATGAGGAGCAGTAAAAATAGCTACCTTAAAAAGTACTTTGGTTATTTAATGATCGCTGATGATTGATTTTACAGGTAACCAAGTTAGATTGCAATACTGTAGTTACTTTATTAGTCCCATTCAGCAGCTGCCATTTCTTCTACAACAGACTGCCTGACCAACTTCTCCACCCCACTATTTACTGTTTAATTCATTTAAAAAAGATTTTATCACGATTTATTTGCAGTTTTTTTGCAGCAAAGTCCATCTTTTGTTTTGAGTGCTGAGGGACCTGCTGCATTTGTCTCAGCTCTCTGTTTTTCACGAGCTGGCATTCAAAGTTTGAATGGACCATGCTTCGACTTCAGATGTTTCTTCAAATTTGACTGAGTATTTTTAAAGCTAGATAACACTTTTGTTGCCACTTTAGAGTGTACAAGCAACCTTAATGTTTTCATTTTTGGCTGACACAAACTCAAAATAGTGACTGGATTTCCATCTTTAAAAGGCGAAAATCTCTTCTCACTCCATTGCTGTTTTTGTCCCTGGCTGCTTGGTTTGTGCACGGGACGAGGGAGTGTGGTTTTTGACCAGCTAAAAGTGCTGTCCCCAGTGCTGAACTCGGTGCTCGTTGTACGTAGCTAGTGGATAATGCTACCTGTTGCACACAATGCCAATGTTAGCTGAGGCAGATATAACATTTAACTACGGTTTTATATTCGTCATAAGATAGCAGATGTGTCAAAAGAGAAAAAACATGAACGGGTGAGGCGCTTTTTCTTACCCGGTCGGCTCATGTCTTCGGACGAGGTTCGATTGTGACTGTTTACATCCAATCAGCTCAACTAGGACAGCAGCGGGAGACTCACAGGCAAACACGCACACGCACACGCGCGCGCACACACACACACACACACACACACACACACACACACACACACACACGGGATCACCGTGGGTATTAAATGGAAATACATTACACACACACACACACACACACACACACACACACACACACACACACACACACACACACACACACGGGATCACCATGGGTATTGAAGGGAAATACATTACATATGCACATACACTCACACGCACACACGCGCACACAGACACACGCACGCGCACACACACAGGACCGCGCACCCACACCACACACACACACACACACACACACACACACACACACACACACACACACACACACACACACACACGCTGAGTGAGTCAGCATAAAAAGTAAGAAAAAAATAGCACATATTATCTATTATTTTATCAGTATGCACGTTCCACGAGAGGGTTATAATAATTAAAGAACATCTCAATATATTGACGGTTCAGCACCATTTACCTATTTGCAGATTATTAGTTATATATATAAAATACACACACACACACACACACACACACACACACACACACACACACACATTTACCGTATACTGTATATTGACTAGTGTAAGTGTACCTTACTCAATCGTTGAGCGAGGTGGCGACACTTCGTTTGTCTGTTGGACTGCATTATACTGCTCTCTGGTGGCTAAAATGGGCAATTAATTGTAGTTACTGTACTGTTAGCTTTGAGTGCAGCTTTTGATACGATTTATCATGAGCTATTACTTCAAAAGCTGCTGACTTAGAGGTTAATATACAGGCGTGTACCTTATGAAAATCTATCTGGCAAACCGAAAACAATGCGGTTTGTTTTAAGTGTCGAATATCATTACACTTGACAATGGTATTCCATAAAGTTGTTGGACTGCTCCTTTAATCCACCTTCGTTAACTATGTGCCATACTTTTCAAAATATGCAGTTATAAAAATTAATGTAGCTGTTGCCACCATGTGATACTCACACCAATTCGAGCGACCGCTGTTCAATTCAATGCAGTGTTGACAGCATGCAAGTCAGGCTGTCTTGGATTATGGTGGACGAAAGACTGGCATGCAGCCTTGTTTTGTTTTTAAGAAATATCTATATTTCAGGTAAACCTGACTTCTTGTTTTTACGACTGCTATCGCCCACTGAAAGGCACAGCTGGAAAATATTAATGCCATATAACCTTGGCTAGAAATTGATTTTGTGGTCAAATTTTGATCTGTTTTAGTGTATCTTGAAATTTCTTGGAGGTTAGCTGAATGTACGTTTTGTGACTTTTTAACCTTTTCATGCTCCAATAATGACAACCTGTAACCTGTTAACATGATAAGCTGAAGCCAATTCACAATGAATTGGATTGAAAGAACAAAATCCATCTAAATGTTTAGGAACATTTATTCACCAACAGCAAATTGAGATCAATGATCCACATGTTTTCTTCCAGACACACGATAACCATGCTACAACATAAAGGTTTCTTGTACTGTACTTGAGTGTTTCAAGGCTGCCCGTATGTACAACCAACCTGAAGCCCATTAAAAGTCTCCCCGCACAACTGAACGTTTACAATACAACACTGCACCAGTTAAAATGATTTTCCCACCACAAAGTATAACATGAACTAGCCTCCGTGGATTTATCAGAAAACCAATGCACTACAGTTGCACTCAATGCTGTCTTCTTTTGCTGGAGTTATCTCCCAATCGCGCATCTGTTGGATTTTTTTTTTCTTTGAGTGCATTCAACTTACAACATGTACAGTAGCATTTTCAGAATCTCAATGAAAAAAGCCATGGGACGGGCACATCTACAGTATGTTTCATCAAGGGGTTACTTACAGGAAACATCATATGAAACATCCATACTGTTAATAGCAGAGGGTGGACAGTCGCACGCAACTCAGCGCTTGTAAACCATCGGAAAATATGACGAGCCGAGTGGCAAATCAAAAAATAAACGCTGTCGTGGGAGATTTGCAAATGTGTGGCCATACATGCAAATCCAAATGATGCAGTGTGCCAAAAAAATTGATTCTGGCTGAGTGACCCTGTTCCGCGCTAGCTGTGCAGATTCAAAGGATTAGAGGTGCCAACAATTAAATGATTCTTTGACAACTCATCAATAATCAAATGAATCCACAACTATTTTGATAAGCGATTAATTGTTTCGAGAACTTGCTTAACTGGAAATGGTCCAAACCCTTGGAATTTCAACCTCTCAATGGCAAATATTCTCCAATTGCTGTCGTCTTTCATGAAAGCGGACCAGCTATCAAAATGTGACTTTGCAAACATCAGCTTTTACTTTGGAGAACATTTTCACAGACTTTCTGATGAATGCTACAGATCACACTAGTAACTGAATCATTATCTACACTTTCAATTTGAGATAATGTATATATTTTTTTAATAGTAGAGGGATGGATATGATCAAAAATGTTTTCTATCCGATTCATCAATTGTTAAAATAATTGATAGTTGCAGCCATATAAACAAGTCAACAATGATCACAGATATCGCACTTCCAAACACATGGACTTCAAAACAAGATGACAGTTATATTCCTCCCCAAAAAATGAAAAATAAAAGAAGCTTTTGCAGTCATCGGAATTCCTACACAACAGGATGAATGTAATGTTCTTCATAACATGGTGACCTTCTCTTTCAATCTTTTGGTAAAAAAAAGAGACACGGTTGCTGATATGACAACATTCCTCAGGCGTAGGTGACCAAATGACAAGACGTCCCCGATACTGTGGTGACGTTCAAATAAATGAGAGTGAATTCAAGACGGCAGCCACAAATTTCCCGCGGCCTGTGAGCGCAATGCCGCCAGGAGCCTCACCGCTCTCACACTGCACGTCGTATTCATGTGGACATATTGCACGGAAGAGTCAAAATGTTGCCAAAGAGGAAATATGCTGCATGCTACACAATAACACACAATGCGGGACTGGAGGGACGTGGGGACAAAATGGAAAAGAAATCAAAATGTAATAATTTCTGGTCATACTCTGGTGAAATAAATAGAGGGACGGGGTTGTAAGGGTTGAATAGTTCCTTTGATGGACCATGCTGACTCGTCCCTGTCCTCTGCATGGGCCTTCCTGGTGAAAGATGGATTCTTTCCCATCGCGGAGGTGTTGCAGGGGAGCAGGTGGAACCGAGGCGAGGAGGGACGGACGAACGGACGGATGGGTGCGGCCGCTTAGTTGAAGCCGGTGTCGGTGTGGTAGGAGTAGTGGCCGTCCGACGTCAGCTGGGTGGTCTCTGTTGCTGTGGGCTGAAGCATGATGGGCTCGCCTCCCGCTTCTGCTGGAGACATGTTGAGGGTTGTTAACAGTTCATACTACATCTATGGGCGAAAACGTTCATTTTCACCTTTGGCAATTAATTTAATCCATGAGCTTTCGTGCTTCATTTTAAATGTGCAACCTCGAGTTACGAATGACCCTTTTTACGAAACGTTTCAAATTAATCACTATTTTTGGGCAAAAATATGACTCTAGTTATGTACATCTTTCTCAGCATGGATGAGCGGACCAATCAGTGTTGTGCTTCTCGTGCCATTCAACACACACATACATACATACATACATACATACATACATACATACATACATACAGTCACCCGGCATTCATTGCGGTGAATATGTGTGCCAGACCACAGTGATGTTCCTCTAATATGGTCTTTTTTTTTGCAGCAACAGAATAAGAAGTAATACGACTAAATATCGAGGTATTTCAGTTTCAAAGTTCTGGGACGGAATCAAAGGAGAATTCTGAGAGAAGATTCTCCCTGCCAGTGTAGTTTCGTTCTGGCACAATTTACTGGGCTGGTCTGAGAAGTGAACGCTGCCCTCTGCTGTCAACTTACTGTGAGTGAATCAGGGAGCTGACAAACGACGTCAGCGTGTTGTATGATTTCATTTTGCTGGCCTTCCAGATTTGTGATTGCAGCAGGAAAGCGGGTGTGCCTTAAAATGTCTGTTCGCATGAATTTCATTTTTGCTGATACAATATGAAAGACACTCAACCAAATAGGATTGATTTTGTTCAAATATGTCAGTTCAAAAATAAAACATTTCAGCATGATGTCTTTTGTGTTCAGTTACAGTAAGTGTGTTTATCCTTAACATAACTGGCATTCAATTTTCCAATCACTCAAAACAGAGTTGTTATTTATTTTTATTTTTTTTACGATACTGCAATAATACCATGGCCCTGATACCATGACCTTATCTTACAGTGAGATTTTGATATTGTTGCAACTCTAGTAACAAGTAATCTCATGTGATACTATTTTCAAACAGATAATCAGATGAAGTTACTTATCCTAGTCAGTGTGCGTAACTATTGTGGTGAGAACGAGTGACATGGACTATTTACAAGGGAAAAGGAGTGAACATTTGGGAATGATTGATGCTCATTATAATTGCCATAGGGGGTGGGGGGGGTGTAATTTTTCCTTTAAAAATAAACACGAGTAAGCATAGGATTGGGTTAAAAAATATATCTTCTTCTCCTTCTTCTCCTTTCGGCACGTCCCTATTCAGGGGTCGCCACAGCGAGTCAGTAATTTCCGTAATTTCCAGGGGAGGGCACTGCCCCCCAGCGGCTGGGTTGGTTAAAAAATATATAATCTACAAAAATGATGGCTATGAACAGCAGATTTCGCAACACAGTGGCTAAAAAAGTCAAAAGGTGGTTCTCACCTCTCTCGTCAGATTGCAACTGAGCCTCGAGGTCCTCCGGGGACACATAAAAATCTTGCTCCTGGCCCTCCCGTGGCCGAGGTTTACATCGTCCGCAGCAGCAGTTGCAGCAGCAGCACAGGCAGCAGCAGAAGTAACAGCCGGTGGCCAGGCCGCACAACACAAACAGCGCCTGCAAAAGAGCCTGAGTTTGATGGCCGGCTGCGCACAAAAACCACCAACAAAGCAAACGTTTCCTAGGCATCCAAATTTACCTTTGCCCCCCAGCTGGAGAGGACAAAGTAAGTGTTGACATTCTCCTCTCCAAACTGCTCGGCCACGTACAGTCCCAGCGAGCCGTATTTGTCGTAAATGTTGCGCTTCGTGGGGTCATTGAGAATGGCGTGGGCATTGTTTATCTCCTTGAACTTATCTGCTGCTTCGGGATTGTCAGGATTCTTGTCAGGGTGAAACTTCAACGCCAGTTTCCTGCATGGAACACAACCAACCTGTCAATGACTTTATCCTACAGTACAGCCGTCCGGCCTGTGATCAGCACATCTCAACACATTACTGGACTTTCACGCAAACGCAGAACAGTTGAGATTCTTAGCCAGAAACTTTGGGTGTACTCACACCAGGCCAATGTTTCCCAACATTTATTGAGCCAAAGCTCATAGTGCGGTGCCTTGAGATACGAGTTAAGGCTGTACGATTTGGAAACATATTCAGCTACATATTACAGAGTCGGTGTGTGTGTGTGTGTGTGTGTGTGTGTGTGTGTGTGTGTGTGTGTGTGTGTGTGTGTGTGTGTGTGTGTGTGTTTTGGTCTCACCTGTAGGAGCGTTTGATGTCATCATTTGTGGCAATCTTTTCCACTCCCAGCACGTGGTAGAGTGACTCACCAGCGGTGGATAGAGAGCGCTGCCTCTGATGCTCAGCCATGATGCCTCACGTCCACAGGCTGGACACACACACAAAACCACAACTACATGTACTGTATGTATAGTCGGCACATAGGTATCCTCAGTATGTTCACGTGCGAGCCGGATCCTGTTCCAGCAGACTTGCGGCGAGAGGTGGGGTACACCCTGGACCGGCCATGGGGCACAATAGATCAGTGCTTCCCAACCACTGGGCCATTAGAGACCATCAGATGTATCATGGGAAATTACCCAATTACACTCCATTGATGTGAAAAGTATAATTTCCAACAAATAATGCCTATCTTTGTTCCTCTATCTGTTACAGGGTAACAGGGAGAAGAATTACATTTTCTCTCACGAGATGGCAGAAGGTCCAATTAACTGGTGTATCCACCTTTCGCCATTCCTAAAACAGAATAATAGTTTAATGTTCTACAAGATTTTAACCTTGGTTAAGTACGGTGAAATTGTGAGGAAAAAAAAAATCAGATTAGATCACCATCATTTCAGTATTCAGCATGTACTTTTTCTCAACTCAACTGTATTTATAGAGCACTTTAAAACAACCAGCGCTGTATACATAGTGCTGTGGATGGAGCAAAAATAATTTAAATAAACAACAAACAATAAATAAATAACAAAAACAGTAAATAGCACAATAAGTGTCAAACTACTTTTTGTAACATTATCACTGGTAAAGTTATCTCCCGTCATACCTCGTTTCATTTTTTGCATTCTCACTGTGTCGTGGATTTTTAAACTGTTCATATGTCATGTTGCATCGCAGACTCATGTAGCAATTTGAGCGAGCCAGCCAGGGGGGAAAAAATGCATAGAAAACAACGCCCAAAGTTTGGAAGGAAACATTTCGCACTTCAAAAAGAAGGTACGCTGCCAAATATGTCGATTGTGCTGTGGCTTACACAACTGCACATCTATGAGATAGCGAACATCGCTACTTTATTTAATATTGTCTGACCACAAATTAGAATGTCTTGTAATCCCTCCACACATGCTAATTAGAATGAACATTTTGAACACTACACGCCATGTATGTGGTCAAACTTACTAAAGTCCTACTTTTATTTCGAGAAAATTTAGTAATGCCCTAATTTAATTTGAAGAAGGTTGCTGTTGTTTTTGTCCTCCCCCCCACCTTATGAAAAAAAATTAGTACCTTAACATGTTTATATCAGTCAACAACTATGTTTGCCATTTAAAACACTAAGATTTGTATGAAATAATGAACAGCCATTTGCACTCACAACTCCAATGCTTCATGTAGTTTGAAGGGATTTTCATTCACAGTATAGGCTTTCATATTGCTGTATTGCGGTTTTTCATACAGTGATGAAATACTTGCTTTTGTTTCAGTGCGGCCTTTCATGGTTCTAGATGATTCGGGTGAAGTTTTGGAATGAGTGACTGCAAATAATGATGTTTTTCTGAGTGTAAATGAGAGACTGTTTGCATTTGGGTGTGATTGAGGAAGAGGGGGTGCCATGGTGCCACGAGCAAGGGGGAACGCCGGCCGAACCCCTGGACTGGAGATCACAATCGGCACTGAAAAAGGCCGTCACAGCAGGACTTCCAACAAAAGATGGCCAAATGTGAAAGATCATATCCACATCAAAGGAAGATTCACCATAGAAGGACAATTCACACCTAATCTGACAGATGCCGTTGATAACACCTCGACTGTCCTCGCAGACCACTTGTCTATGCCCGAACACGTGCGCGCACACACACACACACACACACACACACACACACACACACACACACACACACACACACACAAACACACACACACACGTTGGCGCACCCCAGGAAGAAGAGCTGACCAATGGAGATTTAGGGTTTGGAAACACTACTTAATGTTTCCTGTTGGTTTTGCCTCTAAAGAAGCTTTAATCCTTTACATTTCGACATGTCCTTCATGTTCTCGCACACACGCACACACACACACACGCACACACGCGCGCGCACACACACACACGCACACACACACACACACACACGCACGCACGCACGCACACGCACGCACACACACACACACACACACACACACACACACACACACAAAGAGAGACACACCCTTTTTGGGGAATCGTATGAAAGGTGGATCAAGGGAAAGGCGTCTTGGTCACTCTGCCTCACTACCTTCACGGTTAGGAGAAGTTGATGACCCAGAGCTCTGTTTAGAATAATTGGCTTGATCTATGCTGTATTAGACTATTTGTTAGGGATTAAATACTTTTCTGTGTTACTGGTTCAAAAGACGTGTGCTTCTGATCATTCCTGAGCCCATCAACGAGCACCCCGGAAGTCCGCCAAGGTATTTGATTATTGGTCAAATAGTGTGATGGAAATTCTGCCTTCAAGTTCAATGTAACATTTACCCCCAATCACAAAAATCCCACAGATATACATAAAACCTTTCCATCTGAAATACAAATTAGTACAAATTTGGACAGACCAAGCTACCAAGAGGTTGCAATTGAGGCTGGTATCAATTTTAGCATTTTCTAGCAATGCATTATTCTGCTAGGTGGGATAATGAACATTGTCAGAGCAGGACTAACTTCTTAAAGCATGGCAAGCAATTGTTCTGTGTAAACCAATTCAAACAGACATAAACATTTTAGTTTGTGCCATCTGATGGTCTGCTGTTTAATTAATGTTAGCTAGTAACGTGCAGTCAACATTGTGATGGTTGGTGACGTTGGTCCAAACAACACAGAACATATCAGACATCTGTCGGAGGTGGGGCCCACCTGCCGGCGCCACTCAACACACAACGGATGGGGAAGGGCGAAGGAGGGTTTAGGGAAGGAGGGCAGCGGAAGGGAGCATCAGTCACGAGCAGGTCGTAAATGAATGAATGTTAGGAATCATCATGTGTTGCGGTGACATATTAACAACACCGCAGCATTTTTTTTTTGGTCTTCCCACTGAGACCGTATCGGACAGTCCGATGGTAGTCCGCACCTGATACCTGGGCACATGCCCCAGTAAAAGGGGTCTGGCGATGCCAGTGGTCGGTACAAGCCACTTAAAAGTTGAAACTATTGAGGACCAAGAAATGACCCTTGGTCATAATGGATGCATCGCGAGTAAACAGACCAAGACGAAAGGTTCATTTCAGGAGTGTGGCGGTCAATCTTCTGGCTATCGTGAACTTGGCTGAGTTTGGGGAAGAACGGTTGGGGAGGCGTTGGGGAAGAACGGTTGACCTTTCACAACTTATGGGCTCCATTTTTCTTCCCAGCGCAAGCCAAGCATAAAGTGCAGTCAAACTGTGCACATGGTAGGTGTTTTCTTTCTTTTGGTATTTTGCTCGACTTTGCACAGGTAGAACTCGGCGCAACAGGGCGTTTTTGCCATTGCGATATGGAACGAGCCTTACAACTGCACTATCATGCGTTTGTGTGTAATCCCCCCTCCTGTCCCGTCTCCAATAGTGACAGGGTGCTATCAAAATATTTTTAAGATGATAATGATTATAATTAATTCAGCAACTTAATTTCTACAATGATTCAGAGAGGCTCTCCCACACTGGTGTCATATTTATGAATGAAATCCGGTGACATCCATCACACACTTAAGTGGAGCCCAGAATTTGTCTGGCTGCGCCTCAATCAAATACAACAGAATCATTTTAGACTACCTGCACAGCACAATAGACCTCCTTTTGGCTAGTCTAAAATTTTGTCTCCGTACTACGTGACCAAATTACGAGATGCCCTGGGGGTCGTGGAAGTAACACCCATGTGAGACGAAGCACAATTGCCCAATTGACAAACACACTGAACTAGACAATTGCTTCCACACAAAAACGACAAGGTACCCCTTTTTACACCGAGCGCAGACTGTTTTCTCTTAAAATTGTCGGATGAATCAGCAACAGGCAACTTTGTTTGCCGGAATGCCCACAGAGGCGCAACACGGCCCCAAACATGCCAGACCAGACTTGTGCTTCCACGATTATGAGGTTAGCCTCTTTTTACACGGTGCACACTAGCACCATCCTACCAAAATAGGGGCCTATATGTGAATATGCCAATAGATATTATGTCAATGTGTATTAATAAATTTTGCATTAGGTAATAATTAAAGTTACAGTCTGGAAGTTTTTGTTTAAAACTAAACACTAGTGACACCAAAAAAGTAAGTACTGTACTTAACTTTCGTATGCACATGATTCAAATGCAGTCAACGGACATAATGTTCGATCTTCCTCAAAAATATTTAAATGACATGTTAGTTTAATACATTTTAATCATGTGCAACCGATGTAGGCCAAATTGAGTAAATTCAACTGAATGATTTTTTTTCTGTGTAAATGTACTTTCAACTCAACCTGCCCAGCCACTGTGGATTTTTTTAGGCCGATGCAGATAGATATTTGGCAGAATAAAATTGCACCCATTATTCGGATGACTATTTAAAAAAAAACATACTGTATAATGACAAAAAATTTTTTGGTCACTGGTATCTCATCGAGCGGAGAATGCTTACAAACAGAGTGAATTTGAGGTTGATTTTTTTTAAAAGGTTGCAAAGATGTTGGCAGACAGTTATTACTTTCAAAAATTTCGAACATGTCCTCCGTGCGCCTAAACATCGGAGATGGTCATCATTGGTAGCTCTCAAAAGTGTCGCGTAGATTTTGTGTGAAACAAAACACAGTGTAGTTGATTAATATTCCTGGAGATGTTTTGTTGCAGTTTGCTGCCTTAGGTCGCTGCCAGTCACCGGAAGGAAGTGCTGCCACTTGTTTTACCAGATGCGGAAGTTGGTTGTGTATGAAGCCTATAACCCAACAGCAAAATTCTAGTGAAAACGCAGAGTGGCTAATAACTCTGGGAAACCACGAGCCACAATGGCCGCTGAGCAAAAATGTTCATAACAAGCCAAACAGGGGACTAGACAAACATTCACACTAATATTCAAACCAAATGAAAATGTGGGTTCTTTAGTGCTGTGGTCCCCAGCCAGTGGTCAGTGGGTCATTTGGTGCCAGCAGCACGGACTGATTTATTTTTCCTTTCGTAGCGGAGCATATACAGTACACACACTACTGAAGGTGTCCAACTTTGAAATGGTGCTGACTGCAAGGCAGCAGCTGGCCCTGTTCTGCTTGCGCTGCTCGGCCAAGCTCTGCAGAGTCAAAGGGGGTAAATGTTGGATTTATGGCACACTCCTGCGGCGCATTTCTCACGCTCATATTCAGACTCGTGCACTCGCATTGGAACACGCTTCACTTGTTCCAACGGCATCATGATTGGGGTTACTTAAGCATAACGGCGTTTAAGACAACCGACAGATTACGAAAAAGAAGTAGTCATCTCGATACAAACGGAACAGGCCGCATTCGAGCAGCTTTGTCAAGACGACAACAAAAACTCGACAGATTGCGATCAAATTGTCAACGAGCAGGATTAGAGGCCGTGAAAAACGTTGCAAGGAGCAATAATCTCCGGGCATCCTCATCATCGTCATCAGCATCATCAGCAGTAGCAGCAGCATCCATGTTAGTTTGCCTCATCCCGGCCTGCTGAGGATGCGAAGCACAGCCGTTCATTTGGTGAAGGGCGCGTGCAGTCGTGCTGAGGCGAAGGCAAAGCAATCGAGACGAAGATGTTAGACTCACCTTCCACGAGACCAAAGTGCGAGACGAACAACGAGCGGTGGCCGTGTAGCGACGAAGTCAGGACGGACGGCGTCTCGTGACTATGGCTGCATCTCTCGTGTAGCCTCTGTGACTGTGTGTGTGTGTGTGTATGTGTGTGTGTGGCTCCAACCTCCCACCAACCATGGACAGCTGCAGCAGGACGTTGGCCCCGCCCCCGTACGTTAAGCGGCGTACCATGCGCGCGCACGCGAACCAATGCGGGAGGCGGGGCGCGCGCGCAGAGAGACGTGACGACTACACATTAACTGGAGTTTAACAGTCGTTTTTTACGCAAATCAACTTTCTTCATAGTGCACTTAAAAACACAACAACAACAGCTGAATCATAATAAATACAATTGAACCTAAAACATAAAACGATATTTCTAGTACAAGAGTGAAACTAAAAAAAATGTTGATTTATTTAATTCAAACATGTACATTAGGGTGGTCCATTTTGGAAAAGTTTGTCGGATTCGTCGGGCCGGGTCGGAAATCTTGTCGATACTATGACACAAGGATGTGTGCAAAATTTTATTCCGATCGGATAATTTTATCCCGTCCCGCAGAGCGACCAAAGTTTCCCCTATGGAAAGAATGTTACGGGGCTGAATGGTAGTACGGTTTCTCCCGTACAGTAAGGATTTTGTTTTGCTCAGTTCGCACTTGCAATAATTCAAAGACGGAAGACAGGAACGCATGTATTGCAAAAAAGGCAACCGTGGTTATCCTTCAACACTGGTGAGATTGTTGGTCCATGTTAACTGGTCCATCTGTCTATCTGTCCATCTGTCTATAATGTCCATCAACACTAGTGACACTGTTAGACCGCAAAAAAAA